CATTATGCGTTTTTTGCAGCTATGCAATGCAAAAACGCATACTGTCGAAGGGTTGTCTGTGTGTGTCTGTGTGTGTGTGTCTGTGTGTTCGTATGTAACGAATTTTCATCCCGAGATCCACAGTAGCTACAAGGCTGAAAATTTGGTGACTTAATATACACATGCGTGCGGGCTCGTATCCTCAAAATGGACACTCAAGTCCGCGTGGTTCTCACATAGGGGCACGTGAAAGTTTTTTTGACGGGAAAGCGTTTTCAGGAACGGCTCATGCTAGGAGGCTGGAACTTCGCAGAGATGTTCCCTAGCCGCGTCTAATCCAAAGATTTCAAATTCAGCCTTCACGCATCCCCAGGTCTCATGTACGCACACGTCAAATTTCAAACTGGTATTATGCCAACTCCAGATTTAAGTTGATCAATAAGCTGCAGAGAGCTGCAATTTTGCAGCCTTACTTATCGCCTACTATTGTGGCCGTGAAAGTAAATTACTTGTCAGCTCTTCTGCATCTCATGTACGAGCACGTGAAAATTTCACGCATGCGGTTTTGTAACTTCAGAATTGAGCCAGCCAGAGGACCTGGACTTTCTGGGCATAACCGACGGTGGCCTTTGACCAGATACACGCAAAAACGACTTATACATCACTTTCACGTCTCACATACGTTTCACGTGCACACACGTGAAATTTGACGTAACTCCGCAACCAGAGCAGCTGGAGTACTGAAACTCTGAGCACTACCCATGACCGTGTTTGAGCAAGAGCGAGCGGTGAAAGCATTCAACGTTGCCACTCACGTACGAACACGTGAAATTTGATATAACTCTGCATCCAGGGCAGCTGGAATGTTGAAACCTTCTGACCGCTACCCATGACCGTGTTTGAGCAAATGCGAGCGAACAAATCATTCGCGCAGCCACCCACTTACGAACACGTGAAATTTGACGTAACTCTGCAACCAGAGCAGCTGAAGTGCCGAAACCTTCTGAGCGCTACCCATGGCCGTGTTTAAGCAGGCGCGAGCGATGAAAGCATTCACGTAGCCACTCATGTACGAAACGTAGAATTTGACGTAACTCTGTAACCGAAGCATCCAGAGCGTTGGGTCTTCTGGGCATGGACTGAGAGTCATTGCAACAATTTCTAACAGTCATGGTGGCCAGTTCCAATTCTTTTAGCTAAAAATATCTGCCAGGAAGAATGTGCCACTGGCGAAAAAAACCTAGCGGGAGAACTGTGCAAAAAACGCATCCTCATACCGGCAGCCGGTACGCTTTCTACTAAGTTTTTATTATGCGTTTTTTGCAGCTATGCAATGCAGAAAACGCATATTGATGAGGGGTTGTCTGTGTGTGCCTGTGT